AGACATTCCACTAAGATTTCATTTTCCTAGATTGTATAATTGAAAGTGCGGGACAAAATGCACTCACACACACACACACACACGCACACACACACATATATATATATACATACAGAACCCCACATAGACAGGAGCATGATAACATGTGTTCTGTTTTGCTATTAGACAGCGTAAAACGCATAAAAAGAAGGGAAGGCAGAATAGTCCTGTACGCTACTCCGATCCTCAACTACCATTCGAGGAATATATAGGGCCTTATGAAACGATGCTGCTATTTGGGTTGGCAGAGTGGCTCGGACATGCACAGCATGAAGCATACAGAAATCGCACTTACAAGTCTTCTTATCTCACTCGTTTCGACTATTCTTATCTCACTGTTCATTATCTTTGAATTCGGTTCATTTTTTATTAGGTTTACGCAGAGGAGATCCAGAAGATGTTAGCGAAGAAGTCTGAAAAGCATATGACTGTGGAAGCGGAGAAGCGCCAAACGTGTGGTGGTGAGATTCGCTTACATTCGCCACTGCTTTTTGTGAAGTGATAAATGAATCTCGATTAATTTGTTCGCTTTTCTGAAGTGAGCAGAAATCATGAATTGAGCCGAAATGATATCATTTTTTGTCTCTGCAGTATGTTGCGTCTCTGGTTTTGTTCAGGTCAGTATCGTGACGAGCGACTGCGAAATGATACGCCGTGTATCGCGGAATCCACTGGATACGCTCGCGATTCGCGTCCTGCAGAGCAAATGAGAAATGAAGAAAAATCTGTTCTGTTTTTTAAGTATAGCGATTCGGAGCATCGAACTGGACGTGAGGACGGCTCACAGAGCGCAGCGAAAATAACTGGTGGCCCATATGGGAAGGATGATTCGAAGTACTACAGCGGGCCACCATATCAGGAATATGGTGAAGAGCATCATTATAAGCGACGGCCAGCAACACCTTGCGATGCTGCACCACCAACGAATTACGAACGCGATAGGTAGTCTTATTCCAGAACATGTGATTGTGGGTGTGTGATTAATTATACACACGCACACACATATATATATAATGTATATATATATTATATGTATACATATGTATATATATAATATCACATTCTGCCCAGCATATGTATATATAGAGAATGTGGTACTGGGATCTGGCATAATTGCGCTTGGCGCATTTGAACATCCCAGCATCAACAGTATATCCACATCGATAGTCCGGAGTTTTGGTATTG